GGGAGAAAATATACGCAAAACATATCTGATAAAAGTCTTTATACATTACTCAATGTATAAAGAACTCATCCAACTCAATAACAGAAACAACCTAACTTTAAAACTGGGCAAAAAATTTGAATGGACATTTCATAAAAGAAGATACACAAATGGCCATTAAGCTAACGAAAAAGTGCTCAGAATCATTAGTCATCAGGGAAGTGTAAATTAAAGCAACAATGAAATACTTCTTCACACTCATCAGAAAACCTAGAAGTGTAAAGACTGACAATATTAAATTTTGATGAGGACGTAGGGCAACGGAACTCTCATACCTGTTAATGAGAGTGTAAAATGGTACAGCCATTTTGAGGAAAGTTCTAGCAGCTTCTTTTAAAACTAAATATAGAATTATTATAGAGCTGTTCCACTGGTCAGTATTTACTGATGATAAATGAACTCATATCTACAAAAGGACATGCACAAGAATGTTCATAATAGTCCCAAATTAGAAACAGACCAGATGTCTATCAGCAAGGAGAATGAATAAACTGTGATATATCCGTACAATAAACGACTTCTCAGCAAAAACAACAATTATCAGGAAAAAACATGCTGTGGGATAAAAAACAAAACAAAAAACTAGGTTTGGGCTTTTGTCTCTGGTTTCTGAATACAGCTTGAGCAATCAAGGGGTTTTTTGTTTCATAAAATAGATAGACAACACTTAAATGTATGCAAATGAGTTGGGGGCGTCCAACTCACCACGTTGGCAACAGGCCTCAGGAAAGGAGGGGGCATGTTTGTCCCTGCAGGCCTCAGGAAAGGAGGGCCCCCCATGTTTGTCCCTGCAGCATGTCACATGCACTTTGGGGTATAAAAATGGACGAGCATAGTGTCTGGGGTCTTAAAAGCTTGTGAGTGGCCATCTAAGATACTCCACTGGTCTCACCCCATCTGGATGGAGCAAGAAAGAATAAAGAAAACCAAAAACACAAGGGAAAGATTAGCCAAAAGGACTAATGGACCACAACTACCACAGCCTCCACCAGATTGAGTCCAGCACAACTAGATGGTACTCAGCTACCACCACCGACTGCTCTGACAGGGATCACAATAGAGGGTCTCAGACAGAGCTGGAAAAAAAAGTAGAACAAAATCCTAACTCACAAAAAAAGACCAGACTTACTGGCCTGACAGAAACTGGAGAAACCCCAAGAGTATGACCTCCGGACACCCTTTTAGCTCAGGAATGAAGTCACTCCTGAGGTTCACCCTTCAGCCAAAGATTAGACAGGCCCATAAAACAAAACGAGACTAAATGGGCACACCAGCCCAGGGGCAAGGACTAGAAGGCAGAAGGGGACAGGAAAGATGGTAATGGGGAACCCAAGATTGAGAAGGGGAGAGTGTTGACATGTAGTGGGACTGGCAGCCAATGTCACAAAACAGTATGTATATTAATTGTTTAATAAGAAACTAGTTTTTTCTGTAAACCTTCATCTAAAGTAGTTTAAAAAAAAAAAGGATGAGCTAGAGACCTCAGTGTCCCCTCAACTATGGTGCTAGTGGATAGCACGTATAGCAGAAGCTTTCAGCTCACCTAACTAAGTCTACCTGGCCTGTGGTGGATCGTCAGGAAGTAGGTCCTCTTTTGTTCCCTCACCGACAATGCCATGTGGAGGCACACATGGAAGAGTTCTCTATCTCCATTGGGACAGCTTCCAGAAGCCAGAGGGGACCGACTTCGTATGTAACTGTCCCTTTGAGTCTTTCATCTATGGTGCATAGTAGGGCACGGGTAGAACTTCTCCATCTCTGCCCGGACAGCTTTTGAGCCGGGGGTACTGCTCACCTGTTGTGCGCTGTCTGCTTCGTTATAGAAGCAGGCTGCCACAGCTTTCTCCCGTGGAACAGCTGGTGGGTTTGAACCACCAACCTTTTGGGTAGCAGCTGAGCTTTTAACCACTGTGCCACCAGGGCTTCTCAATAAAAGTAACCTTCTTTGTGTAACACTGTAAGGGTGTCTTGTGTGTTCAGGCTGTGATCAGAAGGACGTTATATTCATGGAGAAATGACTAGCAGTGACTGGTTCCCTTTCTCTAATGGCCTTCTGGCTGTTTAGAAATCTGGGACGACCTATGAGTGTCTCACACATGCAAAGACATGGATGAATCCTGTTGGGGAGGTAGTCTGCCTGCGTGGCCAGACTGAAAAGCCCTACAATCCCCTGATGGTGAGCCATCTCTCTGGCTGGTCACACAGTCAACTAAGTGGGTCAATGTTATGGATTGAATTGTATCCCTCAAAAACATATGCCCAAATTCTAACCCCTGGTACCTGTGACTGTGACCCTGTTTGGAAATAGGGTGCTTGAAGATGTTACCAGTTAGGTTAATGAGTTCATACTGGAGTGGTGGTGTCCTTATAAAAGAGACACAGAGAAGAAGACAAAGGAAGCACGGTGTCTTAGTTATCTCGTGCCGCTATAACATAAATACCACAAGTGAGTGGCTTTAATGAAC